ATAAATATATAAAAATAAATAAACACAATATGTTGGGGAAGAGTCAAATGGCTTTTGTAAAGTGAAATCATGCCTTGCTAATCTATTACCATTCTCTGAGTCAACAAGCATGCAGACAAAGATGATCCAGTGGATACAGTGTACTTGGAGTTTCAAAAGTCTTTGGCAAGGTCCCTCACCAAAGGCTCTTACACAAATTAACCAGTCATGCGATAAGAGGGAAGATGCTTTCATGGATCCGTAACTAGTTAAAAGTTAGGAAACAAAAAGTAAGAATAAATGGTCAGTTTTCACAATGGAAAGAGGTAAATAGTGGGGTTCCCCAGAGAGGTATACTGGAGCCAGTGCTGTTCAACATATTTATAAATGACCTGGAAAAAGGTGTGTAAACAGTGATGTGGCAAAATCTGCAACCAATATTAATTACTCAAGATAATACAGTCCAAAGCTGACTGTGAAGAATTACAAAGAGATCTCAAAAAACTGGGTGACTAGGCAACAAACTGGCAGACAAAATTCAGTGTTGATAAATGCAAAATAATACACAGTGGAAAAAATAATCCCAGCTATACATACAAAATGATGGGGTCTAAATTAGTTGCTTACCACTCAAGAAAGAGATCTTGGCGTCATCGTTGATAGTTCTCTGAAAACATCTGCTCAATGTGCTGCAGCAGTCAAAAAAGCTAACGGAATCTGGAAGGGACCTTGAGATTCCCCTTAGTCCAGTCCCCTGCACTCATGGCAGGACTAAGTATTATCTAGACTATCCCTGACAGGTGTTTATTTAGCCTCCTCTTGAAAATCTCCAATAATGGAGATTCCACTACCTCCCCAGGCAATTTATTCCAGTGCTTAACCACCTGAACAGTTAGGAAGTTTTTCCTAATGTCCAACCTAAACTAACCTTGTTACAATTTAAACCCATTGCTTCTTGTCCTATCCTCAGAAGTTAAGGAGAACAATCTTTCTCTCTCTCCTTGTAACAATCTTTTATGAACTTGAAAGCTTTTATCATGTACCTTCTCAGTCTTTTCTTCTTCAGACTAAACAAACCCAATTTTTTTCAATCTTCCCTCACAGGTCATGCTTTCTAGACCAGTAGTTCTCAAACTTTTGTCCTGGTGACCCCTTTCACATAGCAAGCCTCTGACTGTGACCCCCCTTATAAATTAAAAACACTTTTTTATATATTTAACACCATTATAAATGCTGGATGCAAAGCAGGGTTTGGGGTGGAGGCTGACAGCTCGCAACCCCCATGTAATAACTTCGAGACCCCCTGAGGGGTCCCAACCCCCAGTTTGAGAACCCCTGTTCTAGACCTTAATCATTTTTGTTGCTCTTCTCTGGATTGACTCCAATTTGTCCACATCCTTCCTGAAATGTGGCACCCAGAACTGGACACCATACTCCAGTTGAGGTCTAATCAGCATAGAATAGAGCAGAAGAATTACTTTTCATGTCTTGCTTACAACACTTCTGCTAATACATCCCAGAATGATGTTTGGGTTTATTTTGCAACAATGTTACACTGTTGACTCCTATTTAGCTTGTGATCCACTATGACCCCCAGATTCCTTTCTAGAGTACTCCCTAGGCAATCATTTCCCATTTTGTATGTATGCAACTGATTGTTCCTTTCTAAGTGGAGTACTTTGTATTTGTCCTTATTGAATTCCATCCTATTTACTGCAAACCATTTCTCCAGTTTGTCCAGATCATTTTGAATTTTAATCTTATCCTCCAAAGCACTTGCAACCCCTCCCAACTTGGAATCCTCCGCAAACTTTATAAGTGTACTCTCTGTGCCTTTATCTAAATCATTGGTGAAGATATTGAACAGAACCGGACCCTGCAGGACCCCACTTGATATACCCTGATAATTTTGTTCTTTACTATAGTTCAGGGGTAGGCAACCTATGGCACGTGTGCCAAAGGTGGCACACGAGCTGATTTTCAGTGGCACTCAAACTGCCTGAGTCCTGGCCACCAGTCCAGGGGGCTCTGCATTTTAATTTAACTTTAAATGAAGCTTCTTAAATATTTTAAAAACCTTATTTACTTTACATACAACAATAGTTTAGTTATATATTATAGACTTATAGAAAGAGACCTTGTAAAAATGTTAAAATTATTACTGGCACGTGAAACGTTAAATTAGAGTGAATAAATGAAGACTCGGCACACCACTTCTGAAAGGTTGCCAAGCCCTGCTATAGTTTCACCCAATTTGCCTGGTATATTAGAATTGGAAAAGGTATAGAGAAGGGATACAAAATTATCAAGAGTATGGAACAACTTCTCTGAGGAGAGATTAAAAAGACTGGGACTGTTCAGCTTAGAAAAGAGACGTCTAAGGGTTGGGGCAATATAATCATGAATGGTGTGAAGAAAGTGAATAAGGAAGTGTTTATTTACCCCTTCACATAACACAAGAAGCCAGGGTCACACAATGAAATTATTAGGCAGCAGCTTTAAAACAAACATAAGGAAGTACTACTTCACACAATACAAATTCAACGTATGGAACTCGTTGCCAGGGGATGTTGTGAAGGCCAAAAGGATAACTCGGTTCAAAAAAGAATTAGATAAGTTCATGGAGGATAGGTCCATCAATGGCTATTAGCCAAAATAGTTAAGGATGCAACCCCATGCTCCAGGGGTCCCTAAATTTCTGACCACCAGAAGCTAAGACTTGAGAACTGGGAATGGATTATTTGATAATTGCCCTGTTCTGTTCATTCTCTCAAACATCTGGCACCGGCCACTGTCATAAAGAATAGTCATACAGAGTGATCTGGATCGCTTGGTAGGCTGGGCACATTCAAACAGAATGATTTTAAAACAGCCAAATGCAATGTTATACATCTAAGAGCAAAGAATGCAGGCCATACCTATTGAATGGGTAACTGTATCCTGAAAATCAATGACTCTGAAAAAGATTTAGAGAGCATAATGGACAAGTAACTCAACATTGTCTCTCAGTGCAATTTTGAGTTCCTTTACGTTACAGACATCTCTCTTTCTTTCTTTCGTCTCTCTTTTTTTTTTTAAATTACTCAAACTGGAAGTATATGCCAGATTTTTTAAATTTTGCAAAAAGTTCTCCTGTACTCTGTTCCAAATTATAGTTTAAAGCCCTTTCAGTTTTGAACCAAGAAAACTGGTTCCTCCTTTACTTAAGTAAAGACCATATAATCTAAGTCTCTGCCTCTTAGCAGAAGGCATTTCAAAGCACTGTCAAACCAAAGCTTTCTTTTCTGTATTATCACCTCATTCGTCCATTTGTCAATGTGGTCTTTTTTTCTCGGCAATAGACCACTGACAAGAAACCTTCATCAATAGGCTGCAGTTTTCTCTTCTCCGCTCCCTAAAGTCATCTGAGCCTATCAAATCTTTTTTTCTTGTGTCGGTTTCCAAATATTTGTATTAAGTGGAAATTCACCAGCATTCTCTAGGAGCATAGATTCTAAAGAGGGAAAAGACCTTTTAAAAGTTATCTAGTCCATCTCTTTGCCAGTAGGGGATCTCTTTTGTCCTTATACTTTCCTTGTCCTGGCACCTGGGAGGCAGTGTATCATCCCGTTCTCTCTATCTGAATCAAATGATCTATGATTCTTTTATAGTGCCCATCACTGTAGTATCTAAGCATCAATTCCGAGCCATGATTTCATTATTAAATCACGTATCAAAACCACTTCTCTCTCCTTCCCGTTGACTGGTCATCTTTCAATGCTTACTTTTCCTTCACTAGTTAAGACTAGTATTCTCTGCCTCTTCCCAGTCTCATTATCCTCTAACTCAGCAAGTGCAGAATATTCTCAGGAACTCATTTATTTGCTATTCACTATGCTCAAAGACTGCTATGCCTGGCTCTGTTCCACACCCATATTTGTAACCATTCACAAATGGTTAGAGAACACTCCTGGTGTTCTCTAACCTCCCACACAGTTTTTAAATGAAGCCTGCTAAACAGAACACAACTAGCTCTAAAAAAACCTCACCAAACCAGCACTTTTTGTGTCAGCCATTCATACAGAAAATACAGACACTATACTTGTTTTTCCGAAGTCTCATAAGCACATCTGAGGTCATCTGCTCAATGTTACCTAAGCTAACTGTCTGACCTTTATTGTATTGTTTTTAATTCATATGTTTATTAGTCACTAACCAGTGCTCACACTTAGTTCCTGCCTCTAACTCGGATCAAAATGTCCCCCCCAAATCCCATTCAGGTTTTACTACTATTGCTGAGTGCCATGTGCAGGAGCCACAGTGCAAGTGTGATTCTTCTGCAAGGGAATTTCAAATGTGATGAAAAAGAGAGGAGAGGGCATGCTGGGTTGAATAACTGCACACCCACCCCAGATGTACAGCTGATATGATATTCTGTATTATAACAAGGCAAAACCATGAAATCAACAGAGCCATTCTTTAGCAAATAGCTGTTAACAATCACTTCTAAAGAATGGCTTACTACCTATGAGCACCTGTAAAGCACCTATACTTTATGATGTACTTCCAAACTTTTAATAAGGAGCTCTATGCATGTGTTTGCTTAATTTACATGGCACATCTATTTAGGAACTTATATGATTCCCCATCCTGTATGTCTGAGCACCTATACAACAGTTTATTCTTAAAATACAATAAATATGCAGGAGTTAAAGTGAAAAGAGTTTCCTATTCTGGCTTCTGGCTTTATAATTAAGATATAACTGACAACTTAAACCAGCCAAATGGATGAAATATTAAATTTAAAATAATTATAATTGAGATTTACTATTAACATAATATATGGAGTAAATAAGCAAAAGAGGCTAGTTTAAAATAATTTCATCAGTATCTAAATAAAAAATAAGCTCTCAATGCACACATCACTGAATAGAGTTATGGCACACATACAACATTTAAACTCATCATTCCATTCCAAAGTAGGATTTCATCTACAATTCTGAGAAACACAGGAGCATTTACAAGAGGAGGCAAGTACTTACTTTTTGGCAAATCTCCAGTACTAGACGCTGAAACTGTTCTGCTCCTATCCTGAGATGGGCTGCTCTCGTCTCTTTCAGTTACAGATGATCCCTCAGAAACAGCTGAACTACAAGCTACAGATTCTAAAGCTCCAGAGAACATTGAAGCTGAAAATTCAGAGAACTGTGACTCAGGAATTTTATGAGGTCCATTTGGCAATTCACCATTAAATTGTTCATAGGAGCTACTATAAGAATAATCACTTTTTGCATTTGGCTCATTGAAGTTATACTCCTCAGGGTTTGGGCAGTCTTCCTCATCCTCATCTTCATCTTCAATCTGTTGTTCCAGTAAGAATGGGCCATTTACAATATGGCCATTTGTTTTGGGGGATTCTATCCACGTAGGGTCTGTGTTGACAAGTTCCTGTTCAACATCATCATCTTTCTCAGTGTTTTCTTTTTCTGTGTCTTCTTTTTCCTCCTGATCTTCTGCTTCACCTTAAGAATGTAATGAACAACATATTAGATAATACATCAATATACCTTTTTGAAATTATGATTTTTCATGATCTTTAACTCCTCAATAACTACTGGACTTCAGTGTAAAGAAACAATGAATATTACTTGAATCCACAAAGATTTCCAACTTTAACTTAAATTCTTTTAATTTATTAGGCATCTCATTTCACTTTTTATTTGGAAATGCTTGTGTTTTACAACTCTGATTATTTTCCAATTTCATCTTCATGTTATAAAATAAATATTTTTCAGCTAAGCTAACAAGTTATTATTATTATTCACAATTTGTATTATGGTAATGCCCAAAGGTCACAATATGCTAGGTGCTGCACTAACACTCAGGAGAGATGGTCCACCTCCAAAGAGCTCACAGTCTGCAGCCCCAATCCTGCAGGCTGTTACATATGTGTGGACAGCTATATCGGTATGGAGCCCCATTGAATTCAAAGGGACTCTGCATGGGCATAATTAGAGCCCTATCAAATTCATGGTCCATTTTGGTCAATTTCATGGTCACAGGTTTTTAAAAATTGTAAATTTTGGGTCAGGACCCCCAATTTGAGAAACGCTGGTCTCCCCCGTGAAATCTGTATAGTGTAGGGTAAAAGCACGCAAAAGACCAGATTTCATGGGGGGAGACCAGATTTCACGGTCTGTAATGCATTTTTCATGGCTGTGAATTTAGTAGGAGGTCTGCCCACTCAGGACAGCTTGCAGGATCAGAGTCTACACTGAAACAAGACACGTGGACATACCAAACAGCAGGAGAGAATGAGGGAGGAAGGACAAGGATAATCATAAATAAGATCATAAAGTTATATAGTTATGTGTACAACTTAATGGCTCCTAATCTCTATTTGTTGATATAAACAAATAAAGCATCATATAAAGACCAGCACAAATATGTCTCATGAAGGGATCTGAAGAAGAGGGCAATGGCCTTACTGATTAGTTCAAGGGGAACATTCTATGTGTAGGGGGCAAGGGAAGAGAAAGCACTAGTAAAGCTGAAGGAGAAGAGGCCAAATAGGCATTCAAGGCTAGCATCACTGCCAGAATGAAGGGAGTGGTGGCAATGAGTAAAGAGTGGATAAGCAGGGAAGGGCAGAGTTATGGAGGTCCTTGAAGATAAGAACAAGAACCCTGAATCTCATACAGTGGCCAACAGGGAGCCAGTAGAGAGACTCAAAGAAATGCAAGATATGGCCAGAGCAAGGGACAAGAAAGGTGATCCTAGAAGCAGCATTTTATCTGGAATGGAGAGGGGCAATGTGAAGGTTGGGGAGACCAGAGAGAAGTTGGTTACAGGAGTGATTTTCAACCTTTTTTTATTTGAGGACCCTTGTAGAAATGTAGGTGGGGACCCCTTTAGAAATCTTAAACAAAATCTGTGAACCCCCATATGTCCACGGACCGCAGGTTGAAAACCACTGGATTACAGTAATCAAGACATAATGAGGGTCTGAAAGAGTTTTTAGTAACATGGGAAGAAAAACAAAAGGCTTATCTTAGAAATGTTATGGAAGAAGCAGCAGGATTTGCAGATAACTATAATAGTAATAAATTACTTAGATGTGCACAGAAAGGGAGAGGTGGAATAAGAGATGACTCTATAGCTACATTAATTTTATGGAATAAAGATGCAACTTGTTGTCCTGTTACTTCCTCAGGATGCTTAGTTATGTCAGCACCTGTAGTAATAATAGATTTTCAGGACCTAAGTCAAATGATTTATTAATATTTAATTAAAATATCTTTAATTAAGGTTGTTTTTACCTCATTGCCATTTGATCAGAGAAAACTAGGGCGGCCAAGTGATTAAAAAAATTGTGATTAATCGTGCTGTTAAACAATAACAGAATACCATTTATTTAAAGCAACAGAGGGTCCTGTGGCACCTTTAAGACTAACAGAAGTATTGGAACATAAGCTTTCGTGGGTGAATGCCCACTTCATCAGACGCAATATTTTTGGATGTTTTCTACATTTTCAAATATATTGATTTCAATTACAATACAGAATACAAAGTGTACAGTGCTCACTTTATATTATTTTGTATTACAAATATTTGCACAGTAAAAAAAAAGAAATAGTATTTTTCAATTCATCTAATACAAGTACTATAGTGCATTATCTTTTGTCATTAAAGTTGAACTTACAAATGTAGAATTATGTACAAAAAATAACTGCACTCAAAAATAAAACAATATAAAACTTTAGTGCCTACAAGTCCATTCAGTCCTACTTCTTGTCCAGCCAATCGCTCAGACTAACAAGTTCGTTTACATTTGCAGAAGGTAATGAGAGTCACATGCCACCAGCAGAAGGTTGATTTTCTTTTTCTGTGGTTCCGATTCTGTAGGTTCCACCTCAGAGTGTTGATCTTTTAAGACTTCTGAAGACATGCTCCACACCTTGTCCCTCTCAGATTTTGGAAGGAACTTCAGATTCTTAAACCTTGGGACAAGTGCTGTTGCTGTTTTTAGAAATCTCACATTGGTACCTTCTTTGCATTTTGTCAAATCTGCAGTGTAAGTGTTCTTGAAACGAACAACATGTGTTGGGTCATCATCTGAGACTGCTATAACATGAAATAGATGGCAGAATGCGGGTAAACCAGAGCCGGAGACATACAATTCTCCCCCAAGGAGTTCATTCACAAATTTCATTAACACATGATTTTTTTAACAAGCGTCATCAGCATGGAACATGTCCTCTGGAATGGTAGTTGAAGCATGAAGGGGCATATGAATATTTAGCATATCTGGCATGTAAATACCTTACAATGCCTGCTACAAAAGTGCCATGTGAACGCCTGTTCTCACTTTCAGGTGACACTGTAAATAAGCGGGCAGCATTATTTCCCGTAAATGTAAACAAACTTGTTTGTTTTAGCGACTGGTTGCACAAGAAGTAGGACTGAGGGACTTGTAGGCTCTAAAGTTTTACATTGTTTTGTTTTTGAGTGCAGTTATGTAACAAAAAGAAAATCTATATTTGGAAGGTACACTTTCACAATAAAGAGATCGCACTACAGTACTTGTATTAGGTGAATTAAAAAATATTTACCATATATACTCGATTATAATCCGGTTCGTTTATAAGCTGACACCCCCTCACCCCCCCAAGATGGATAAGTAAAAATGGAAAATTTTTTATGACCTGTTCATAAGCCGACCCTATAATTCAGGGATCAGCAAACTTTGGCTCCCGGGCCATCAGGATAAGCCGCTGGTGGGCCGACATGGTGTGTTTACTTCGAGTGTCTGCAGGCACGGAGGTAAACCTAAGTAAACAAAGTGTCCCAGCACACCAGCTGCTTACCCTGATGGGCCGGGACAGCAACTGGTGGGAAATTTTTTTTAGGGGGGAGAAGCTGGGGCTCAGGGGAGTAACCACTAGTAGACACAAAAAAACTAGATATAATATATATTTTTAATAAGTTAGGATAGGGATAATTACTCCAGCCAGGACATGTTAGGCCTTTTAGAAATTTCAAATTTAATTCAAATAATTCAATTTAAGCATAAGAGAGAAATAAAAATTATTAAATGCATAGACCAGTCAAAAAACTCCAATAACAGCACTTTGAAAGAATAAAATTACAAAGAATATATGTGCATTGCAGGAAGTATCAAGATGTAACAACAACAATAATACAAGTATGTGTTGGGAGGTGAGTGTGTGAGAGAGAGAGAGAGAGAGAGAGAGTGTGTGTGTGTGAGAAAGACCCGGACTGTCCCTTTAAGTAGATCAGCACTCACCAATCTGAAGCCTGCTTCAGACACAGCAGCAGCCACCACCAGCACATTCCACTCCTGAGCCCTATCATTCCACTCCTGAGCCCTATCCTGGTCCCCGCCCAGAGATGGAGTACGAGGAGTGAGGGGGGGGGGGGACGCGACATCCTGACATCAGCAACCCCGCCCCCATCCCCACTCCATGCTGCACAGCAAGGAGGAGACTCCTGGAAGCAGCTGGCCAGGGGCTCCAAGGCAGAGGGAAGTAGTAGCGCAGCAGTGGAGATGGGGCACCTGAAGTGCGTGGCACTTGATAGACTGCTGGCCAGCCGTGCGGCTGGACAGCTTAGAAGGAATTTAGATGTGCAGCTACAGCTGAATACACATATGGACAAGCACCTGAAGAACAGCAAAGTAAAAATGTTAAATTTCTCTCTCTCACCAACAGAAGTTCGTCCAGTAAAAGATATTATCTCACCCACCTTGTGTCTTTAATACCCTGGGACTGACATGGTTACAACTATACTGCGTATAATAGAAAACCTATTCGTTTTAGAGATTTTTGTGGGATTAATTCATAATTAAGATAAACCAGTCTCAGAAAGTACAATTCAAGTTCCATCTCAGACTACAAATTAGTTTCAGTATCAATAAAATAGAAGTTACTAACCATCATCATTCCCAGGCTCTTCATCTGCTACCTCTTCTAAATCAGCTGTTTTTAGCTTGACCTCTGGATGATACTCATCTTCTTGCTCATTTGATGGTACAGCTGAGGTTACATTTTCTTCTATTTTTTTCCTTTCAGCTTCTCGCTCCAGTTCTTCTATTTCCTGCAGGCGTTTCTCTAGTAGTTCAGCTTGCCTCTTCTGTTTTTTTTTCAGTTTTTTCTTTTTGTTTTTAGATATTTTCCCAACCTACATTTAACGAAGATAAATAATGTCAACTGATTATTCTTCCAAGCATCTCACATCAAAGTTTAAATAATTTTTGATAGCTTTCTATTTGCAAATTCTAGATATTATGTACCATATTAAAGTATTTATGTTCTCCATTTAATCTTCATCTCAAAGAGCACTTCAGGTTATGTAAAGCAAAAAAAAATTACATAACCTCAGGCCACGAGTACTCTGCTAATTAAACTAAAAAGCAATTATATGGAAAATGGTACAGTAAACTTGACTTGATTCATTTAATCTTACTCAACAGCAACATCCTTAACCTTTAGATTACTATTGATCATGTTCATGCATATGGAAGGTACTCCGCTAACAACGTACAAATGTTTTAATTATTCTGGTATTTCAACTCAGTGAAAAAACAGCTGCTAACAATCAGAAAATGGATGTAAAAAGGTGAAGAAATACCGTATGTACTTGTTCATAAGCTGAATATTTTTAGTAAAAAAGGGAAGCACCAGAGAAGGGGGTTGGCTTATGAACGGGTATAGAGAGGGAGAGGTGGGACACAGCCCCTCCCCCCCAACAGAGGGAGCAAGGAGAGGCAGCACAGCCAGCAGAGCTTGAAAGGAAGAGGCGGGGCCAAAGTCTCTCCGCTTCTGGCCACGCTGCTCTCCCCCCAGCCTCTGAAGCAGCTGCAGCTCCGGAGTTGGCAGGCTGCAGCCGTGCCGCTCGGCCCCGCCCCCAGAGCAGGCTGCGGACGTGCCTACCTGGCCCAGCCCGCTGGAACATGCTGTGGCCGCGCCGCCTGGTCTCGGCCCGCGGAGCAGGCTGCGGCCGTGCTGCCCAGCCTGTCAGTGCAGCTCCAGCCAGGCCAGA